ATTTAGCATGACCAATCCACCTAACGTGCACATCTTTGGACTGTGGGAGGAAACCGGAGGAAACCCACGCAGACACGGGGCGAATGTGCAAACTCCACACAGAGTCGCCCGAGGGTGGAATTGAACCCAAGTCCCTGGCACTGTGAGGTAGCAGTGCTAACCGCTGAGCCACCGTGCTGCCCAAATGTTAATGATAGTCTGATAATCAATTGGTTAACAAAGATTGATTATCTCTGCAGGTTAGTTTTTTATTGTTTCTAAAACCGCAAAGCATAATAGAGATTCTGAAGCAGACATTAAAGCAAACCAAGACAACAAGGTGCAGGGCTGGATGAACACAGCAGGCCAAGCAGCATCATAGGAGCAGAAAGGCTGACGTTTTGGGCCTAGACCCTTTCTGATGAAATAACAAGTAAGCTTGTTGGTCTCTATAACATATAGTTGCTGACACATTCAGAACTTGTGATGGTGGTGTTGATTGGAGGTCCCTTTGATTGCCAGTCATCACTGATATTGTCTGTCATTTGTGTTTGGGCTGTAACTTTTTTATTTCATTGACGGCATTCGCTGTTCCAGAATATGTTTATCCTGCCATGCAACAACCAAGTTTATTCTGGATTATCCACCAACTGATCCAGTTCCTCAAACTTTTGCCACTTTCAAACCTTGGCTTTTGTAGATTTGTTTCTTTATATTTCTAGCTCATTTTGAAGCTTCTGGTTTTGCATCCTCAATTCTTCTAATGCTATCCAAGTTATTGTAGCTTTCTGTCTGTCTGGTATATTTTTTCTTCCACAACCTCGTATAATAATTGTCCAGCCTTTTCAATATTTTTAAATTTTGGTTTACTTTGAAGCCTGGGTCTCTTTACTTGCTGTTTCAGTGGTTGCTTGGCTTCCTCTATGTTCTGCTTGAGTTACTTCAGTAGGGTGCCATGGCTTGCCCATATTTCTCAAAGGACCGTCTCGTGTGATTTATAACTCCTGGTTGTGTGCATCGCCGTCTGATCTTGCAGATCTGTCATTTTTTTCCTGCATCGCTTTGAGAACAAGCCAGTGTTATTGTAGCTATTCCTGCTGAGCCTGATGCCTTTTAGGCAATGATTGCATCAGAACTTGTGTAAACCAACAGTCTTTTCATTTGAACTGATGATGCAGAGCTTGTCCATCCTGCTTCCTTTCTTTTTCAGTTCTAAATTTATCTTTGTGACCTAAGCAGAAATATTGCCTAAGGATTTGATGTCAGGGATAGTACTTTCAAGTTTGGATTTATTCTCAGCTATTAGCTCAGCCTTTTCCTTTGAAATTACATTTTTTCCCTCCACAGCAGACAGCTAAGATTTTAGTTCTAGCAATTCAGAAGAAGGTGAAGTGGTCTGCTGTTCTTTCTTATTTAGCTCTGCAAGTGTTTCTTGAATAGTCTATTGCATCTCTGAAGTTTGATTCCATTGATTGCGACAAGCGTGAGGTCACATGCTAGTATAATTGCATTTATTGATACAACATGTCTACGATGTCAAACATCTGTGAAGTGCTGATGGATTGTTGGTACTTGCACTCCAGCATTGTGATCCTGCAGATGAAGTGCTGAATAGTTGTTCGCTATAAGTTATGCATTCATCACTTTCTTCATGTAGGAAGATTTTTGATTTTTAAAATTCACAGGGATAATATCTTAGCACTTACCCTGTGTTAATCTTAGCCAATAATGAATAGTCGCCAGTTGCCTGAAGATAGATAATTGAATTTTTGTAAACATTTTGGATGCGTGATAAAATTGATGTCGTCTGTGAGACTGACCATGTAAGAGATGTGTTAATCACTCTTTATCTCATCATATACATCGTTGCTTTCTGGTTTGCTGATCACCTGATTTATACATTTTTGTTAAAATACCAGAAATTCTTGATTATAACTGTGCAATGCCCTTTGCACGTCATGTATTTGATTAGTGTATGGCTCTCTGTAGCTGCATCAGCCTTTGATGTAGTGCATTGTTTCTGCCAGTGGCCACCTTAGCCACATGCCTTGCAAGTTTGATTGAAAACTGGGCATTTCCTTGGTGCATGCCCTCCACGTGTCTTGCTATGTTTGTATGTTCTAGTAATTTGTTTTAACTGTAGAGTTACCTAGGACAAGTACGTATGACCTGTCAGTTTTGTCAACCTGTGAAGATTACTTTGTACTTGCATCCATACTTCCATACCTCTTCAATATAATGAGTTTTAGGTTTATCTAAAAAATCTTTCAGGGCATGTTCCATGGGGATTTATGTGATCACCAAATCAACAATACTATTTGCTAATTCTCCAACTGAAAAATCACACGAGACCTTTTCTCTGTATCTGCAGATGAAATGGTCAATGAATGCAAAGGTTTACGTCTAAATAAAATGCATTGTAGGCAATAAATATGGAAATTTAATCTGACTCTGAAATGGTCATCTAGCAAAGTTCATATTTTTTTCGAGCATCTTTTAGCTGTTTGGCTGCTAATCCTGACGTGATCAGTCTGTGTAGATTTTTGGCCCCAGTTGCTAAGCAAATCGTAATGGTTTACTTTACTGTATCAGATACACCCAAATCTTGAAAGTATAGTTCTCCACACAGATTAGACCTTTCAAATTCTGTCTGAATTTCAACTAGGGAATTTTGAGGGCATTGTGAGAAGATGTCTTTGACCTTCACTTACTTGTTGACCTGACGCACATTCTGATCACTTGTCTTTCTAATGAATCAAACTGACCTCTTGTTAGGGAATTGTCTGCTTCCCAGTCTTTCAAAACATGATGCTGTAATAAACCAAAACATTGAGGGTTGTCTCACGCATTTTAGCACAATTTATGACTGTTGAGCATGTGTGTAATAGTGAATTAACTTGCAGGTTGACTGTTCCATTATGATGGCCTTTTTTTTAATGTTAGTTCATCACTATTTGTTCCTGCCATGTTGATGATGGCCTAATAATCAGTTGCTTTTTAGGGATGGATTAGCACTGTGTGTTCATTAAACAGTGAAACATATTACAAGCTATGAAGCAGACATTACGGCAAACCAACTGATTTCTATGTATTGAACAACTTGGAGACACAGCAAGGTGCAGGGCTGGATGAACACAGCAGGCCAAGCAG